AGCACACACAACACACACGCACGGCACGCAAACGCAACACACACACGCAGCGCGATCGGCGCACGCACAGCGCGCGCGGCGCACACGCAATGCTTACACAGCGAACACCAGCAGGGCGCGCACCACACGACCGCCCACCCGCACAGCCCAGGACACGAAGACACACACAGACACACACGACACACGCACCACACGCGCGCACACACAACGCGCGCGCACATGGCCACACAACGCACGCACACGGCGCACGCGACACACACGCACACACACACACGCGCTACGCACGACACACAGCCAACTCGCATGACTACTTTTATGGGCGTTGTCGTGAGGTGTGGACATCCCACAAGTGAACGACTTGCATCTCAGAGTACAATACTGTTCCATCGCGAAGGAGATGACACAAGTCGGTGACCCAGCACGTGACACAATCTCAAACCTGATTGGTGCGGGGTATTCTTTAGCGTCTCTGATTACCGATGTCGAGATGAAATTAGAACATGCGTCTGTGCATCGATTATCTGCAACGCGTATGAAATCGTGTCGTACCGCATAGTTTACACGGGTGCGTGTTGGCGTATGGTCTGGCACCGTACTCTAGGAGCGTTACGGTCCAAAACGATCGTGTAAATAGGCTTTATGAATATGGGTATAAATAATCTCTACCAAACCTACGTAGTTACACGTGTAGACACTATCAATACACACACGTGCATTTCGGCGACCTAACTACGCATTTTCACAATACTTAATTATTAGTCCTAAATGTAAAATTTTACTTGTGAAATTTAAAAATAATGTCTAGGTAGAAGTAGAGTACATTTTTTTTAATAGTAAATCCACACACTTTTTATCCACGCACGAATTTATCTTCATCATGATATAGATTTACTCTTATAAATGTATCTTTAATAATAAACCCGATACACATTTCAGCATTACAGCATAATTCATTATCAATATAATGTTACCTGTGTAACGAGCAGCCCGCGGGCGCGTCTATCGGCGGGTGAGCCGCGGCTAGCGTAGCAATATATACTTACAGCGTGGATTCTGTCGTGCGCATATCTAGCCGCGTGTATATTGTACCAGCGCGTGTATTTCACCGCGGAAGCGAGCGACTATCCGTATGTAACTGCACACATTTGCATAATCTTTGCAAAATACGATTTCTCTCGGGAGATAGTGCGCATGCGCGCGCACCGTGTTAGGCGTGCAGTGTCGTCTGTGGCAAACTTCATAATATAGTTTGCTGAGGGGGAGAGGGGATGGAGACTGAGGAAATGCGGCAGGGAAGATAGCTGGGAGCGGTAGAAGAAGAAGGAGGCTGAGCGAGGGACAGGGGAGGCAAGGGGAAGGAAGCGAGGGCATAACGTAGGTGTTTTGTACCCTACATGCTAGGGCGCTCTCCTAATTATAAACATATGTCAACTGATACAAGTTTATTAGGGAAATCTATGCTGACATACCCCCTAACCATTTTAAATGCATATTCATCATAAAATATAACTCCTCTGGTGAGATATTGCGCATGCGCTAATACACACTAAAGTCGCCAGATTGTGTACTGGCTGGTATACGTAGCCGGGACCTTACATTCAAGGTCTTCCTACCATTTCTTAAATGATGTCTACAGATGGAATGTTATCATATAAATCTATGCTAGGATAACTCTTCTTCATTTTAAATGCGTAATCTTTGCAAAATACGATTTCTCTCGGGAGATAGTGCGCATGCGCGCACCGTGTTAGGCGTGTAGTGCCGTCTGAGGCAAACTTCATAATATAGCTTGCTGACGGAGAGAGGGGATGGGAGACTGAGGAAACGCTGCAGGAAAGATAGCTGGGGCGGTAGAAAAAGAAGGAGGCTGGGCGAGCGACAGGGGAGACAGGGGGAAGGACGCGAGTGCATAAAGTAGGTGTTTTGTACCCTACATGCTAAGGCGATCTCCTAATTATAAACACATGTCAACTGATAAAAGTTTATTAGGGAAATCTATGCTGTGATACCCCCTAACCATTTTAAATGCATATTCATCACAAAATATAACTCTTCTGGTGAGATATTGTGCATGCGCTAACACACTAACGTAGCCAGATTTTGTACCGCTGGTATACGCAGCCGGGACCTTACATGCAAGGTCTTCCTCCTATTTCCTAAATGATGTCTACAGATGGAATGTTATCATATAAATCTATGCTAGGATAACTCCTCTTTATTTTAAATGCATAATCTTTGCAAAATACGATTTCTCTCGAGAGATATTGCCCATGCGCGCGCACCGTGTTAGGCGTGCAGTGCCGTCTGAGTCAAACTTAGTAGGTGTTTTGTACCCTACATGATAGGGCGCTTTCCTAATCATAAACACACGTCTAGTGATAAAAGTTCATTAGGAAAATCTATGCTGACATACCCCCTAACCATTTTAAATGTGTATTCATCACAAAATATAACTTCTCTGGCGATATATTGCGCAAGCGCTAACACACTAACGTAACCAAATAGTGTACTGGCTGGTATACGCAGCGGGGACCTTACATGCAAGGTCTTCCTCGTATTTCTTAAATGATGTCTACTGATTGAATGTTATTATATAAATCTATGCAAGGATAACTCTTCTTCCTTTTAAATGCTTAATCTTTGCAATACGATTTTCTCGTTGCTTGGCGCGCGTGTGTGCGTGTATGTGTGTGTATGTGTGTGTGTGTGTGTGTGTGTGTGTGTGTGTGTGTGTGTGTGTGTGTGTGTGTGTGTGTGTGTGTGTGTGTGTAGTATCACAAACGAGTAAAATCACACACGAACACACATGTAGATTTATGTGCGCGTGCATACATGTACGTCAGAGAAAGTGTATGGTACAGTTAAGATAACAGATGTGGATATATACGTGAATATAATATATATGTCTATATATACTATATATAATATATATATATATCACGTATATATGAGAATAGTAAATCCTTACATCACCATGATATGCACGTTTCAACGCCAACATATGATTCAACGAACACTAGAAATTATGGTCAACAACATATTTTATTTTAAAATCAATAAATTACTTCACAATTCACGATGTTTGGGGGTTTCTCTCAAAAAATCTAATCATTGTCGAACAGGAAACGTTTACAAAATAAACACATATCTACGGTTTGTTGATTTAGCATATTTTGTACATGCGTCCGAAATAGACACGCGAAAGTATGTTCTATGTATATATGCATTATATTTATATATAATGATGATGAAGGCGTGGATAACTAACATCAACCGACGTTCGAACGAGAATGAATACAATGCAACGATGCTCGCGAGAGATTATAATTATGCGAAAAAAGCAAAAACAGCGAGTAAATGAATGTGGAACACGAACAAAAAAAACGAACTCAAACTTTCGAACTAATGTACCGAACTTTACCGAACTATACCGAACGGCGCATCGGCTTCGACTCGCCGCCTGCGCCACCTGGTGTCGTCACCTGCCTACGCTCTAAGACCGAACCACATAGCAGCAACACACGTAACACAAGTGCGGCTGATACACGCAGTTTTACCACTCTAACGAGAAGACCATGGTATATATATATAGGTATATGTGTATATGTATATGTATACATTTATACGCGAGTGTGTGAGTGTAACAATATATAGCAATGGCGCGATCGTGAAACTATGAACGAATTTAGATGAATCGATGAAAAAACCCCAAAAACGTATTTACAAGTAGTGAGTGAGCGATCAATGTACAAGATGTTGTCGAATGAATGTGATGACGTCATGCATCGAGAATGAACCCCGGATCCTTTCTTCTCTACGTTCCCCGCTACGCCGCGCTTGGCTTTTCTCTTTGCTGCTGTTTCTACGAACTCAGTCTAACTTCTACTCGTTATACAAAACAAAACAAAACCCAACCGCATCCAGCTTCTTACGCTGTTCATACATAATCGACACTACCGACTACATTATCTAGTTCCTCCGATAGTTGACTCTGCACGCTAAACACGCACGCTGACGTGACGTCACGAAGGCGCGCGAAACCGTCGCGCGCGACATCTGGCGGTGGCGTCGCGTCGTCATGGCGACCGCGCGGACCGTCCGCCAGACGGCGCGACGATTGAAGATAAAAATGGTCCCTGATCTTACGGCTAAGGTCGCGAGACACAGGTGCGAAAGTTTGATACGGTTTATATAAACGTGTGCTACTAACGTCACTAAAAAACAAACAAACAAACAATCAAACAACGTGATTACGACGTGATGCATGTACTTTGCGACTTCTACATGAATGTGTGATTTCGACTCCTGGCTCCATTAGTAGTGATGAGAATGGATGGATGGATGGATGGAAGTGTCAGTGATGAATATCACAATATGGAGGACTAACGTCGCCATGGCAACGGCCAGGAGCGAGCGACTAGGTTCAAACAAGAGCGCATTCTGCCCAGCCGGTTCGCGCCGATTCCTCTATTAACGCACGGGGCGCCCTCGTTCGGGAGAAATACGAATCATTTCGTTGCTAGAGCGGACCCCCTTTTTTTCATGCACGTGGGCGGGGCAATACATGTACGTCACAGCACCGCGTAGATTCAGTCAGCTCACTCATAGTACTTCCATACGATCTATGGTGCGGCCATAGTGAGTGAAGTGAATCTGCTAGGTAGGATACTGTGAGGTTACTCTCAACCCTACTATAGGAATCGCTCTCTCTCTCCCTCTTTCTCTCTCTCTCTCTCTCTCTCTCTCTCTCCCTTCTCTGCGGCCTTCTCCCTCTCTCTCCTCTCTCGTCTCTCTCTCGCTCTCTCGCTCTTCACTCTCTCTACTGTCCTCTCTCTCTCTCTCTCTCTCTCTCTCTCTCTCTGTCTCGCTCTCTCTTCTCGCTCTCCGCTCTCGCTCTCGCTCTCGCTCTCTCTTCCTCTCCTCTCTCTCTCTCTCTCTCTCTCTCTCTCTCTCTCTATCTATCTCTCTCTTACTCTCTCTTCTCTTTCTTATCACTCTCTCTCCTCTCTTCTCTTCTCTCTCTCTTCTCTCTCTTCTCCCTCGCTCTCTCTCTGATTCTCTCTACTCTCTCGCACGCCAACACCGCCGAACAGCTGCGTGTCAGGTAGACAGGGCCAAAGGCTAATACAAAAATCATCATCATCATCGTCATCATCATCGTCGTCTCTTCGCGACTCATTGATAAAACGCAACAGCACTGTCGCTACGCGCGGCGACCGCGACCACCCAGGGGTCGCGCAGCTCGACCGCAGCCCGCTAGAGGTCGCACGTGTCGACCGGGGTCACTAGAGGTCAAGTATGTTAGGCATACGTTGCCCCGCGGTATGCCTAGATGCGCAGTGTCCTCTGTATATCTCGCAGCGTCGCATGTCCTATCCGTGTAGACGCGGCAGCAGTCAGTAGACACCACGGCTGTCTGTCTGTCTGTCTGTCTCTCTCTCTATATCTCTCAGCACAGTGGGCAGTCCTGTGACTTCTCACAGCCTGCTAGTGTTTGTGTGTACGGCAGTGTCAGTACTGGAGACACTAGGACGTACTGATCGAGGGAGACTGCCCATTATACGGGCTGCAGTTGACTCATTGACAGCGGATACATCTTCTCATAGGCTGCAGCCTGCCGCTGCTGTTGCTGTTGCTGTTGCTGTCGCTGCTGCTGTTGCTGTCGCTGCTGCTGCTGCTGCCGGAGCTCCTCCTCCTCCTGCTGCTGCTGCTGCTGCTGATGATAGCGAGCTTCTTCTCTCGTCCTTTCATTCCCCGTGGCGGCGTACGCCTCCCGCTCCGCCTCCTCCTCCTCCCTCTCGCCGCCTTCCTTCTCCATCTCTCCGTCCGTCTCTCCGCCGTTCTCCTTGCCGCTGCTATAGTCCGAGAGTGGCGACAGCGACTTGCCGTCGTCGGAGCGCGGCGGCGACGGATATCCGGGACTGCTTCCGTCGCTGTACAGGCCGACGTCGTCCGACGCGGCGTCGTAGTCGACGGCGTTGCCGGCGGCGTCGACGTTCGGCGGACATCCGGTCGTTTTCCAGTGCGTCTTCAGTCCGCTGGCGGACGTGTAGCGCTTGCCGCACGCCGCGCATGCGTACGGACGCTCGTTGGTGTGTAGACGTCGGTGCAGCTTCAGATGGACGAACTGCGTGAAGCGCTGCGGACACAGCCCGCACGCGAACGGCTTCTGGCCGCTGTGCAGGCGCGTGTGAGTCTTCAGGTTCGACGTCGAACTGAACCGCTTGCGGCACACGGCGCACTCGTGCGGTTTCTCACCGGTGTGGACGAGGTGGTGCTTCTGCAGGTGCGCCAGTTGCGTGAAGCCTTTCGCGCAGACGGAGCACTTGAAGGGACGCTCACCCGAGTGCGTGCGCAGGTGCACTTTGAGGTTGGACAGCTGGCCGAACTCCTTCATGCAGACGTTGCACTCGTAGTGCATCTTGCCGCCCTTCTTCTTGAGCGGGTACGGCAGCGAGCGGTAGCCGCGCGAGCCGCCCTCCTCGTCGTCGTCGTCGGCTGGGTAGGGCGTCGCGGCGCCCCCTGGCGGCGGATGGTAGGCGGGTCCGGTGAGGGCGCTGGCGAGGCGCGAGCCGAACGGCAGCGATTGGTTGTAGAGGTGCGGGATCGACGGCGCGTAGATGGCGCCGCCGTACGGCATCGGCTGCAGTGAGGTCAGCGGCGGCGCCTCCTTGTGGGGGCTGTACGGCGGCGACGACGACGACGACGACGACGTTGGCGATAGCGTCATCGTCGGCGTCAGCGGCCCGCTCGTCGGCGACAGGCTGCTGCAGCGGAGATCGCGCGGCGGCGGTGGCGGTGATGACCGAGGTTTCGTCGGGAACACCGGCGCCTGCACTGTGCGGTACGGGTAGAAGTTGAAACGCTGGTGCTGCTGCTCCGGCGGCTCCGGCGGCGGCGGCGGCGGCGCGGCGCCACCTGGCGACGGCATCGCGAG